TAGGATAAGCAGGGAGATAGGAAGTCCAGGTAGGTTTGCTGCAGGGTTGTAGGTAAGGCAGGAAGAAGAGTTGTACAGGTAAGTTTGGAGCAGGTTGGTGAGTATTGGAGGATAAGCAGGGAGATAGGAAGTCCAGGTAGGTTTGCTGCAGGGTTGTAGGTAAGGCAGGAAGAAGAGTTGTACAGGTAAGTTTGGAGCAGGTTGGTGAGTATTGCAGGATAAGCAGGGAGATAGGAAGTCCAGGTAGGTTTGCTGCAGGGTTGTAGGTAAGGCAGGAAGAAGAGTTGTACAGGTAAGTTTGGAGCAGGTTGGTGAGTATTGCGGGATAAGCAGGGAGATAGGAAGTCCAGGTAGGTTTGCTGCAGGGTTGTAGGTAAGGCAGGAAGAAGAGTTGTACAGGTAAGTTTGGAGCAGGTTGGTGAGTACTGTAGGATAAGCAGGGAGATAGGAAGTCCAGGTAGGTTTGCTGCAGGCTTGTAGGTAAGGCAGGATGAAGAGTTGTACAGGTAAGTTTGGAGCAGGTTGGTGAGTACTGTAGGATAAGCAGGGAGATAGGAAGTCCAGGTAGGTTTGCTGCAGGGTTGTAGGTAAGGCAGGATGAAGAGTTGTACAGGTAAGTTTGGAGCAGGTTGGTGAGTACTGTAGGATAAGCAGGGAGATAGGAAGTCCACGTAGGTTTGCTGCAGGGTTGTAGGTAAGGCAGGAAGAAGAGTTGTACAGGTAAGTTTGGAGCAGGTTGGTGAGTATTGCCGGATAAGCAGGGAGATAGGAAGTCCAGGTAGGTTTGCTGCAGGGTTGTAGATAAGGCAGGAAGAAGAGTTGTACAGGTAAGTTTGGAGCAGGTTGGTGAGTACTGTAGGATAAGCAGGGAGATAGGAAGTCCACGTAGGTTTGCTGCAGGGTTGTAGGTAAGGCAGGACGAAGAGTTGTACAGGTAAATTTGAAGCAGGTTGGTGAAGTACTGGCCTTAGGATAAGCAGGAGATAGGAAGTCCCAGGTAGGTTTGCTGCAGGGTTTGTAGGTAAGGCAGGAAGAAAGTTGGCCACAGGTAAGTTTGGGCAGGTTGGTGAGTATTGCAGGATAAGCAGGGAGATAGGGAAGTCAAGGTAGGTTTGCTGCAGGGTTGTAGGCAAGAGCAGGAAAGAGAGTTGTACAGGTAAGTTTGGAGCAGGTTGGTGAGTATTACCCGGATAAGCAGGGAGATAGGAAGTCAGGTAGGTTTGCTGCAGGAGTTGTAGGTAGGCAGGAAGAAGAGTTGCTGGGTGGTTGGAGCAGGTTGAAGTGCGTATTGCGGATAAGCAGGGAGATAGGAAGTCAGGTGGGTTTGCTGCAGGGTTGCTGAGTAAGGCAGGAAGAGAGTTGGCCACAGGTAAAGTTTGGAGCAGGTTGGTGAGTACTGTGGCAAGGATAAGCAGGGAGATAGAGGAAGTCAGGTAGGTTTGCTGCAGGGTTGTGAGGCAAGGCAGGAAAGAAGTTGCTTTACAGGCAGTTTGGAGCAGGTTGGTAGTACACAGCAGGATAAGCAGGGAGATAGGAAGTCAGGTAGGTTTGCTGCAGGGTTGTAGGTAGAGCAGGAAGAAAGAGTTGGCCTACAAGGTAAGTTTAGGAGCAGGTTGAGAGGTGAGTACTGTAGGATAAGCAGGGAGATGGGAAGTCCAGGTAGGTTTGCTGCAGGGTTGTAGGTAAGGCAGGACGAAGAGTTGTACAGGTAAGTTTGGAGCAGGTTGGTGAGTACTGTAGGATAAGCAGGGAGATAGGAAGTCCAGGTAGGTTTGCTGCAGGGTTGTAGGTAAGGCAGGAAGAAGAGTTGTACAGCTAAGTTTGGAGCAGGTTGGTGAGTACTGTAGGATAAGCAGGGAGATAGGAAGTCCAGGTAGGTTTGCTGCAGGGTTGTAGATAAGGCAGGAAGAAGAGTTGTACAGCTAAGTTTGGAGCAGGTTGGTGAGTACTGTAGGATAAGCAGGGAGATAGGAAGTCCAGGTAGGTTTGCTGCAGGGTTGTAGATAAGGCAGGAAGAAGAGTTGTACAGGTAAGTTTGGAGCAGGTTGGTGAGTACTGCAGGATAAGCAGGGAGATAGGAAGTCCAGGTAGGTTTGCTGCAGGGTTGTAGATAAGGCAGGAAGAAGAGTTGTACAGGTAAGTTTGAAGCAGGTTGGTGAGTATTGCGGGATAAGCAGGGAGATAGGAAGTCCAGGTAGGTTTGCTGCAGGGTTGTAGATAAGGCAGGAAGAAGAGTTGTACAGGTAAGTTTGGAGCAGGTTGGTGAGTATTGTGGGATAAGCAGGGAGATAGGAAGTCCAGGTAGGTTTGCTGCAGGGTTGTAGGTAAGGCAGGAAGAAGAGTTGTACAGGTAAGTTTGGAGCAGGTTGGTGAGTATTGTAGGATAAGCAGGGAGATAGGAAGTCCAGGTAGGTTTGCTGCAGGGTTGTAGATAAGGCAGGGCCGAGGTGGCCCACAGAGCCAAGAGATTTGGAGCAGGTGGGAGTAGAGTACACAGCAGGATGTCGCTTAGGGAGAGATAGGAAGTCAAGGTAGGTTTGCTGCAGGGTTGTAGGTAAGAGCAGGAAGAAAGAGTTGTACAGGTAAGTTTGGAGCAGGTGAGTGAGGACACTGTAGGATAAGCGGGGAGGCAAGGAAGTCCAGAGCCATTTGCTGCAGGGTTGTAGGTAGGCAGGATGAAAGAGTTGTACAGGTAAGTTTGGAGCAGGTTGGTGAAGTGCGGGATAAGCAGGGAGATAGGAAGGAAGGTCCAGGCCAAGGTTTGCTGCAGGGTTGTAGATAAGGCAGGAAGAGTTGTACAGGTAAGTTTGGAGCAGGTTGGTGAGTATTGTGGGATAAGCAGGGAGATAGGAAGTCCAGGTAGGTTTGGTGCAGGGTTGTAGGTAAGGCAGGAAGAAGAGTTGTACAGGTAAGTTTGGAGCAGGTTGGTGAGTACTGTAGGATAAGCAGGGAGATAGGAAGTCCAGGTAGGTTTGCTGCAGGCTTGTAGGTAAGGCAGGAAGAAGAGTTGTACAGGTAAGTTTGGAGCAGGTTGGTGAGTACTGTAGGATAAGCAGGGAGATAGGAAGTCCAGGTAGGTTTGCTGCAGGCTTGTAGGTAAGGCAGGAAGAAGAGTTGTACAGGTAAGTTTGGAGCAGGTTGGTGAGTACTGTAGGATAAGCAGGGAGATAGGAAGTCCAGGTAGGTTTGCTGCAGGGTTGTAGATAAGGCAGGAAGAAGAGTTGTACAGGTAAGTTTGGAGCAGGTTGGTGAGTATTGCGGGATAAGCAGGGAGATAGGAAGTCCAGGTAGGTTTGGTGCAGGGTTGTAGGTAAGGCAGGAAGAAGAGTTGTACAGGTAAGTTTGGAGCAGGTTGGTGAGTACTGTAGGATAAGCAGGGAGATAGGAAGTCCAGGTAGGTT